GCCAGGGGAGGTTCAGGCTGGATATTAGGAAAAATTTTTTCACTGAAAGGGTTCTCAGACATTGGAATGGGCTGCCCAGGGAGGTGGTTGAGGCCCCATCCCTGGAGGTGTTCAAAAGACGGGTTGATGTAGTGCTGGGAGGTCTGGTTTAGTGATGATGCTCCTTGTTTGTTGTGTGGGTGTCTATTTTTGTCAGTCAGGTTGACGGTTGGGCGAGATGATCTTTAAGGTCCCTTCCAACCTAGAAGATTCTGTGATTCTGTGATTCTTTCTCCAAAAGGAAAAAAATAAAGAGGTGTAAATGCGTAAATCCTTTTCCAGTTTGACATCTTTGTGCCAGCAGAATTAACGTGCGTGTGTTGTGGAGCTCCACGTGGTGGGGTCAGAAATGAAATGGGAGAGGAGGATGAGGCTCCTCGTACCAGGGAGCCTGGGCAATAGGCAGTGGGAATAGAGGCACGTTGCATGGTCCTTGGAGGGAGGAGTCCTGTTGGGAAGGTTCCAGGTAAGTCTCAGGAACCCCTTTCTTTGCTTAATGCCTTAAGCTCCCTTCCCAAGACAACTAAGATTTTGCTAAAAAGCCTAATTTCTCTTTCAGCAGTGCTAGGATGTGTGGAATTAGGAAAGAGGCTCGAAATGTCCACACCGCCTTTAGTGGTTGCTAAAGGGAGTGAGTGAGTTCCTGAAGACCAGCAGCAAACATTCTCCTTGCAAAAGACCCCTCCAAAACCAAATAACAAAAAAAGCTCCAAGATTTCCATCCCTGCTGTCAGTGTTTGTTTCTGGGGCAGCAGCCTTTGGCTGAGCTGTGGTAGCAAATTGCAATCCTGGAGATTAGAAACGAGCCCGGGTAGCAGACAGCTGGCGAGCATGCCTTAAAATTGTCTGTTTAACCCAAGGCCGCGCCACTGAATGCTTTTTCAGCTCTTATATTTTTAGGTAGATTTGTGATATCTTTGGCCTTTCCACAGGCAGAGAGCCCGCACAAACTGCACGCTTCCTCTTGACGGAGCTGGGTGCAGTCCTGAGCTGCTGTGAACTTGCCAGCAGTCGTGTACTGGAAATTTCTGATTCAGAAATAGGTCTTCTATAAATGATTTAACATCAGGCCGTTGAAATGCATTCGTGTTTTCCTTCTTAGGGCTAGAAAAGGCGTAGAGAAAACGTTAAGCACCAAGTTAAGGGCTGCATTTTTGTTTCGATCCTGCAGATGGGGTTGATTTAAATCTCCAAGGTGTGTGCTGCAGAGAGGAATTAGAATATTACACAATTTTTCAGTTGTACTTAAAATTTTTTTCGTGCCAACGTTTTCAGTCTCTTTAATGTGGTGAGTTTTCTTTTTTGTTATCCATTTCATCCTCGAGTTTGTATTCCTTTGTTGGTCGAAACACTTGTCTGTGATGTGTAGTGAGTGGGACCATGCAGAAGGTGCGGGGGCTCTCCCCCCCCTGCATCCCCTTCTCGTGGAGGGGGTGTAAAAGCAGAAGGGCAGCAGGCTGCCCGTGGTCTCTGGGGGGAAGCAGAGGTTGAAGGAAGAGAAACAGTGCACTTGTACATGCAGATAGGAGAGAAGAAGATGAGATTAAATGACAGAGCGGAGATTTCGCACAATAGCGGCTGGTCTGATAAAATCTGGTTGGCTTTCCCTGGAGGATTAGACAGAGATAAGCAGCCTTTGCTCATTAGCACCTCCCTTTCCTCTTGCTCTCTGATGATTGCTTTAGGTTGGATGGCAGGTGGTGATGGCAGGGCTTGTTCTGATCTGGGATGCAGCGCTGGAAATTCAGCACATCCCGAAGCCTGAGATGTTAGGTGACAGATCGCCGATGTATTTATGCTTGGACCTTCCTCCTCTTGGTGTTCAGTCCCTCTCAGTGCATGAAAGCAACCATTAGAGTCACTGGATTTCAGGTTTTGAACAAAGGAGCTTGCTTATGCTCATTCCTACTAATACAGCTCCTGGAGCAGCAATAGAAATGAGCTTAATTTCATAACTCTGGAGAGCATCGTGGGTGGGTCTTTGAAAACTGATCTGGCAAATATTAAAAAAAGACAAGTGATGCTTTTTTCAATACGCCTTCAAGTTAGATTGTTAGGTCACTAATGATACTACTTAAACATCACAGTCATTGCAAACATTAGTTCTTGGAAAGAAACACACACACTGTGTACCTGGTGACCGTCCACACACATCCCCACTTGCTAAAACTGATCTGAGCCATTTCCAGCCCTCAGATGCTTTTCATCACCTCCTGCTGGAGGTTAGCACTTCAGCCAGCAGGCACGGAGATGTGTCTGATTGTTTGAGGGGTCCACTGACCTTCAAGCAGAAAAAAAGCACATGTTTGCAGTCATTAGGGTCTTTCCTGGGCCACGCTGGGATGTGCTCACCTGTCCCCTGGGTCTTGGGGAGCAGGGGGGCTGCGCTCCCTCTTCTTCAATTGGAAAAATCACTGTGGTTGTTAAAATAAGGCTTTACATTTATATAGTGTGGTGTTAAATGAATCCACTTGGAAGCATGGATGTGCAGCGCATTTAGCACTTAACCAGAGCAGTTGAAGAACAATGGTTTTTTTCTTTTTAATTTCATGTATCTAAACCCACCTTATTTACGGTGGATGTCTGTGCTGCCTTGCGTGCTTTTTCCGGTGTGTTTTCTCAGTGGCTTCTACTCTTTGTAATGGTTAATTGCCTCTCCTCGAAGTCAGGCATGAATCCTGCACAGATCTGCCCAACTTCTGCCCCAGGCATGTCTCCAGCTGTCTCTGTGGCACCACCAGGAAGGGCAAAGTGACAAGTACATGTTAATCACGGTAGAGTCATGGCCTGTTTAAGCCCAGGGAACATTAAAAAAAAAAAAAAAAGGGCAAAGTGACAAGTACATGTTAATCACGGTAGAGTCATGGCCTGTTTAAGCCCAGGGAACATAAAAAAATAAAATGGTTGAGAAATGAAAATACTGCTGGCATGACAAAAATATCCTCAGGTTAGGTTCCTCACTGGGAAGGCTGGTATGAACTCTGTGCATAGTGGGGGACGTGTCTTGCTGAAATTGCCAAAGTCCCTGCTTTCACATCCCAGGTCAGAAAGGAGAAGAAATGCTTTTCTGGTGGGCCCCTCACTCCAAGAAGGACATTGAGGTGCTGGAGCGTGTCCAGAGGAGAGCCACCAAGCTGGGGAGGGGTCTGGAGAACAAGTCACACGAGGAGAGGCTGAGGGAACTGGGCATGTTGAGTTTGGAGAAGAGGAGGCTGAGGGGAGACCTCCTTGCCCTCTACACCTCCCTGACAGGAGGTTGGTTGGAGAGAGGCAGGGGTTGGCCTCTTCTCCCAAGGGAATGATGCCAGGAGCAGAGGAACTGGTCTGAAGTTGGGGCAGGGGAGGTTTAGATGAGATGTGAGGAAGAATGACTTTGCTGAGAGGGTGGTCAGGCCCTGGAAGGGCCTGCCCAGGGAGGTGGTGGAGTCCCCATCCCTGGAGGGATTGAAGAAACATGTAGAGGTGGCACTTGAGGGCATGCTCTAGTGCCCGAGATTGTGGAGGTCTTTTGTGTGTGTGTGTGGCTGGACTCAGTGATCTCAGAGGTCCTTTTCAACCATGAAGATTCTGTGAATTATAACTTTGGACTGCAGCATCAGGTGATGTTTTCATGCCAGTTGTTGCTGCCATTTTAATTTAAAATTTAAGAACGGCATTTCCCTTGGAAAAAGTTCGTCGGTATGTTGGCTCTGGAGGTGTTCCTTGTCGGCTCTGTAGTAATGGCATCTGGGTTGAGAAGGTTCTTTACTTCATCTCAGGCTGTATTTTCAATGAAATTAATTGGGCTTAGGGAGCTTGGGATGTAGTCGTTAACTTTGTACCGGAGCAGGTCAAAAGTAGAAGGGAACAAACCTGAAATCATCCCTGATTCTGCCCGAGGTCTTTGCTATACTTATGTATTAGATCTTAAGTTGGACCTTAACCTAGAAGATTCTGTGAAATCATCCCTGTTTCTGCCCGAGGTCTTTGCTATACTTATGTATGAGTTAATCTAATCTCTTAATGTGACACTCCAGCTCTCCAAAGCAGAGAGGAAGCATTGATGTTGTGCCTCTGTGGTAGGTGTGGTGGTGCTACCCACGGTGGTGTGCTGGATCAGGAAAAAGCATTTCTTCCAAGTGATGCACTTCAGAGTATGGCCAAAATAAAAGAAACATTAAAAAAACCCAACAAAACACCAAACAGTTGCTACAATTCCCACAAACAGCTGCAAAAAGCTATCTGGAGCTCTGCTTAAAAGCCTGGGTAGCACACAAATAGCTCAAGATTTGGAGTTCCCTGTAACCTTTATTGAAAGTATCTTCTCTTTGCATGAGCAGGAACTCCTCTGACTCGCACGCTTTGGGAGAGCAAAGGCTCATTTATTTCATATATCACTCTGCTGGTTTTCTGGCAGGCTGTTTGGGGGGGTGGGGAATAGCTTGGAGAAATGTGGTTGTCCTCTTTGCATTGGGCAGCGATTTGAGGATGTGGTAGAAAGGAGCCTGGGGGAGCAGTGACAGACAGACTGTAAATAGCTTTTTTTTTTTCTTTTTTTTTTTTTCTCCTATGTGGATTCAGTGGGAAAGGCCAACTCCTGGCCCCATCTGCTTTTATTTTGTTCCCTAACAAAGGGGAGTTGGACTAGATGATCTCTATGGTCCCTTCCAACTCTAAAAAATTCAGTGAAATTCAGTGAAAGTACTAGTGGACAAACTCAGCAGTATGTTTTCCCGCTTCTGAAATGTCTGAAACAAAAGGTTTTAACTAGCATCCTTTTATACTTCTAAAGGGACTTTTATCTGACCTTGTCGGAAATGTATTAAGCCTCCAGTATGGAAAACTTTACCATTTAAAACATTTTTTTCCCCCTGGAAGTCCTCGTGAGCCTCTGAAGCCCAAGGTGCTCTTAGATGGGAAAGCTATGATTTTGTGGGAGCTGTGACTTTCTAAAAAAAGTAATGCTTTTCCTTTTTATACAGTGGGAAGAGATTGGTGAGGTGGATGAGAACTATGCTCCGATACACACATACCAAGTATGCAAGGTAATGGAACAGAACCAGAACAACTGGCTTCTGACCAGCTGGATCTCTAACCAAGGGGCGTCCCGCATCTTCATTGAGCTCAAATTCACCCTGAGGGACTGTAACAGCCTTCCAGGAGGACTTGGGACTTGCAAAGAGACTTTTAACATGTATTACTTTGAATCGGACGACGAGGACGGGAGGAACATCAAGGAAAACCAGTACATCAAGATCGATACCATCGCTGCCGATGAGAGCTTCACGGAGTTAGACCTCGGCGACAGAGTTATGAAGCTCAACACAGAGGTGAGAGACGTCGGGCCCCTAACGAAAAAGGGGTTTTACCTGGCTTTTCAGGACGTGGGTGCTTGCATCGCCCTGGTCTCCGTGCGTGTGTACTACAAGAAATGCCCGTCAGTGATCCGCAACCTGGCCCGCTTTCCGGACACCATCACTGGAGCAGATTCCTCACAGCTGCTGGAGGTGTCGGGCGTCTGTGTCAACCACTCGGTGACCGACGAGGCGCCGAAGATGCACTGCAGTGCTGAGGGGGAATGGCTGGTGCCCATTGGGAAGTGCTTGTGCAAGGCAGGGTATGAGGAGAAGAACAACACCTGCCAAGGTAAGGGTCTGCAGGGAGGGCGCTGTGCTGAGGCTGGCGAGGTGATGTGTGGTCTTGGCTTTCTTCTCTTCCGTATCCTTCGTGTCTGGTTGGGTGGACAATGGTGGGTTGGGTGCTTACTTCCACTGAGATCCTTTGGAGCATGAAGAGAGAGGCCTTGGCTGGGTCTGATGGGACTTGATGCCTATGTATGGGTCCTTCTGGTGCTTACAGGACTGTAGACAAGGAGAATCTGGCATGCCAGTGTTACCTTTGGAGTATTGTTGGGTCCATCAGGCAATTACAATCTTATCTATTATTTAAAGCTTTATGCTATTTTTTTTTCCTCGATAATAGGGGGTTCCTTATGAATTTTAGAAGCTTGGTTTCTTTTTTTCTGGACTCTACCAGGGAATGTTTGAAGTTAATCTCCCTGTGCAAGGTACATTTTGGTTTTGTACTTCAAGGAGTGTGTTTTCCTCTCTTTATCACTCTAACCAAGTGGGGTGGGAATTGGATGTGGTGTGAGTTGATTGATTTTCCTCTCTGGTAAATAGTTTTCATACGAAGCTGCTCAGCTGTTTAGAGTTAAACCCAAAATCCCAGTGATAAAAATGCTTCCATATGTGCTCAAGTTTTCACATGGGTGGCTGGCTGAGGTTCTTGAGTTGCTGGTCAGCATAGGTCTCCTGAATCATCATGTAAGAGAACTAGGGTATCTGAAGTTCAAGACCTAAGAAAGAATACTTTAAAGTGTAACATACTCTAGGAATGTATAATCTCACTTAGTGGTTTGCTGTATTACATACTTGTTTATAGAAGTGCCCTTCCGTTCTAAATATGTAACAGGTTGCTTAAAACCCGTATAATCTCACTTTGTGGTTTGCTTTGGTGGTTTATAGAAGTGCCCTTCTGTTCTAAATATGTAACAGGTTGCTTAAAACCTATTTGGAGATGAAAGAGAAGGGGAAAGAAAAAAAAAAGATTTCAATGTAGTTTGCTTTTTGCAAAAGTGCTATATGTTGGTCATCAGTCTCATCTTAATTGCTGTGTACTTGCAGCCACTTAGTAGTAAATAACCTTTGGGGAGGGGAGAGGGATTCTGCTTCAACCAAAGTTGGTGTTGCATTTTCTCTTCATCTCATTCCAGACACTCATTATTGGTGTTTGTAGCATTGGTGCAAAGGATAGATCAGTGCATATCCAAAGCAAACTGTGGCCTTGATCCTTTAGTCCTTGGTCACCCAGTGTGTTCCCAAAGATTACATAGTTCAAGTCTCTTTACCTGGAGAGAAAATAATAGGTATGTTTGTTTCCTGGAGAAACCTCTTGTAAACACCATGTGGAGTGTGCTTTTTGACCAGGATAGTCTTCTTTTTCTGCAGATGTAGTCAATACAGCAAAGTCTGTCTTTGGTTTTGCTTTTCCTGTGCCAATAAAGATCCTTGTCCCATTTAGAGGGGAAGAAGAGTCAGACTTGATGTTTGATACTGCACAAGAGGAGCAAAGATCAATATTAGCCCAAGCTGGGGAATTCTAGACTGTCACAGATAAGGGATGTGGGTCAGGTAGATCAGCACGGATCTGCTTCCTTGTGGCTACAAATACCATGTCCCAAAAGAACATACAGTGGTTGGGTGATATGTCTAGACACTGATTTTGGTCACCTGTAAGAATTTTTGGAGGTAAGAGATACATCCATGAAGCGCCTTTCAAATCCTGCCCTCGCACTCTGCATGAGCAGCACAGGGTATCGCAAAGCACTCTTAAAGAGGAGTGCTCAAAAACAAACAAAAAAGCAAAACACCAAAAAAAACCCTCAAACCAAAAAAAAAAAATATGGACTGGTTTAAACTAGAAACATGAGGTTGTTTTGGAGGAGCCTACTGTGCCTGTAGAGCAGTTGGATCTCTGGTAGCGTTGAGAGAGCAATCTGGGATGTACTTTCAGAAGACCGTAGTGATTTCCAATTTTGGGATGTGGGTTGTTGTTTTGAAATTTATTTTTCTTAGCCAGTTGAGAGGCCAGCATCTCGCCCTGCAATGTAGGACTCTGTTGGGGTAGGACTGTGATCGTAGGTTGGAAGTGCCAAGATGCTTTGTGGCAACGTGCCCTTGCCATTCTGTCCTAAGGCACACCCGTATAAACCTCTCTTCTGTTTCACCTACACCCTTGGCAGGAGTTTATCACTTTAATTCCTCTAGAGCTGTTACAGCCCATAGTCTGTGTGTGTAGGAAAGCCCCAAATTCTATCACTGAATCGATGGGATATTGGGCTGGGAGTGCCTACGGCAAAGTCTGTTGGAGGGCCCCATTTGGATGTCCTGTGTTTAACCCAGGTCATGGTACCAAGCCTTTCCTGCTGGTTGGCTCTGAGATGCTCAGTCAATAGGAGACATCCAGCCTTAGGCCATTCAGGAGATGTGTGTGGAGTCCATGCCGATACCCTGTGTGAGTAAAATGCTTTTCTGCTTTGGATATTGTTATATTCACAAGGATGAGATTTTTTTTTTATTTTTTATTTTTTCTAGGACGGTAACATTAAACTGTGCAGCCCCTAAAGTAACACCAAGAAAGGTCCCGTGTGCCTGTAGATGCTTTTTGGTTTTTCTTCCCCCTTCCTCCCCCCCAGCCTGGCTGGGGTTTAGGAAATGCACTCCTTCTCCTGGCTGACATAACGATGGTTTTGGTGCTCTGCGATTGTAGGATTGTGGCTTTGACAAACACCTAGATAACTTCTGACCTTTGGTGTGTAAATCACTCGGGGGCATCTCGCCAGCGGTCTCCTTGCTTCCTTTCACTTAGGCATAAGCAGGTTATTAGTTCTCAACCCAGAAGAGCCTGGCTTTGTTTATTAAAATTTCTCCTGCAAAGATGACATTTCCCAAGCTCTGGTGGCACTTCTGGACAGAGCAGACTTACCCTCTCTTATTAGAAGTGATGTAAATCCCAGGCACCCTCACAAACATATGGGAACTATTGAAATCCCTTCTGCCTACAAATCATTAATTGGCAACGATGTTCTGAATTCATCATCTTGTCAGCAGGGTTCCTGTTTGAAGAAGGCACTGACAGTAACAGCTGAGCAATTTCTCTCACTGGGGACGCTGAGGCTGTAAATATGACATGGCCTAATCTCCTTTATATAATGTGCTCGCTCTCTCAATTAATAGAAGCAGCTAGGTAGGAGTTACTGTAAAGAACTCAAACTACTTGGATTTTTCCACCTCCTTTTGGCAACACAGCCCGTTTATCAGCAACTGCTATGGGACAGCTAGAGGTAAAATTGTGACTGTTTTGGGACATGTTTATAAAGGACCAGTGCTAAGGTTCGTTATTCACCAGAATAAATTGCTGTACTAGTTAATAAGAGAAATGAAAGCAGTTGCTCTGTGAGTTTCTGAGCTGGTTTCCAAAGAGGTGATTTGGTGCCACTAAAGGACCAATGATTATTGTCTTTGCCTCGTTTCGGCCAGCGCTGTCTGAAGGGGTCCTCGAGGAAATGTCGTTGAGCGTTTTCATGAGTTGGAAGGTGCCAAGTTTCAAGTCTCCTAATGATGGTCTCCTCCTTAGCAGGCAGTACTCAACCCAAGTTGAGGGCCAGCTCCTAAAATGCTGTAAAACTTAAGGTAGAGCTACTGAATTCTCTCTGTCTTTATCCATTTAGGGTTTTGGCCAAAAAAAATCTTCTCTGCCCCAGTCTATGCTTCCCTTCTCCCTGCACTGAAAGAGCTGAGGTTTATTGTAACTTCAGTTTTAGTTACTTACTGTATATAGCAGTGCTCCCCGTTGGGGTTTGCAGAGGAAATGAATAAAGTCCCTGTGAAAAGGGCACCTTCTGGCACTTCTCTTTTTATTCATCCTCACCTTCAGCCCCATATGTGGGCTGCTGCCACACAGTGAGACCTGGACAGGCTGGGGAGCTGGGCAGGGAGGAACTTGATGAACTTCAACAAAGGCAAGTGTAGGGTGCTGCACCTGGGGAGGAATAACCCCCTGCACCAGGACAGGTTGGGGGGGACCTGCTGGAGAGCAGCTCTGAGGAGAAGGACCTGGGAGTCCTGGTGGACAACAGGATGACCATGAGCCAGCAATGGGCCCTGGTGGCCAAGAAGGCCAAGGGCATCCTGGGGGGCATCAGGAAGAGGGTGAGCAGCAGGTGGAGGGAGGTCATCCTGCCCCTCTGCTCTGCCCTGGGGAGGCCCCATCTGGAGCACTGGGACCAGTTCTGGGCTCCCCAGTTGCAGAAGGACAGGGAACTGCTGGAGAGGGGACAGCAGAGGGCTACAAAGATGAAGAGGGGCCTGGAGCATCTCCCTCATGAGGAGAGGCTGAGGGACTTGGGTCTTTTTAGTCTGGAGAAGAGAAGGCTGAGGGGGGATCTGATCAATGCTAGAAATACTTCAAGGGAGGGTGTCAAGAGGATGGGGCTGGGCTTTTTTCAGTGGTGCCCAGGGACAGGACAAGAGGAAATGGGCACAAACTGGAATAGAAGAAGTTTCACCTAAACTTGAGGAGGAACTTCTTTGCTGTGAGGGTGGCAGAGCCCTGGCAGAGGCTGCCCAGGGAGGTGGTGGAGTCTCCTTCTCTGGAGACATTCAAACCCACCTGGACACGTTCCTGTGGGACCTGCTCTGGGTGGCCCTGCTTTGGCAGGGGGTTGGACTAGATGATCTCCCATATCATTCTGTGGTTCCATAATATGTTCTTGCTGAGAAGGCTCTGGAGCCCATGCTATCGGAAGCTGGTGATGACAAGATAATGAGACCCAAATGCACTTGCAGTGGTGGGGTCCTGCTGGTGACCAGGAGACTGCAAAGTGGTAATTGTGGATGTAATTGATTTGCAGAGCCTGTTATATTTTTTGGTTGCTTTTAGAGCTGAATCACAAATTAATTAAATGTTTGAGTTATTTAAAAAAAAAAAAGGAAAAAAAAAATCACTGAATGAGAGCCAGCTGAAAAAGCGAGTAATGAGTTCAGGAGGTCATGAGGTGCTCCTCTCCAAGAATCAGTGCATGC